ATTACTCGAAAGCTTAATGAGCAAATACAAAGAAAGTTTTAATGCTCGTTCTGACATTTCAAAATAAACGCTTCTTTTGGGAATTACTAGTGGTGTCTCTCCCCACAATAAATCTTCAATAACTAAATTAATGATGATGATGATAATAATAATAATAATAATAATAATAATAATAATAATAATAATAATATTTCTTGAGTCACATTCGAAAACATACTCCATTTTTACGACACAAATTAACCTAACAAGAACAAAAATTGAAAGTATTACTACACTAAAAAAACTATTCAATAAAACTATCCCACGCCAATTGCAATACAGATATCACAAAATGCTTTCTTTACTAATGATACATATAATTACACTTATTTGAAGCCAAAATATATTTAAATTTTACTTCCCAATACCAAGATCTAACCTACAATTGTGTTAACCCTACTTTTACTTACAATGTTATCTTAAAAAACACATTTGCTCAACAAATATTACGCGCAATCTTATTTCTTAGCTTATACTTCCATACTCAATATAAGTCCAACTACAGGTATTTACTTAAAAAATACAGAATACTGGAATAGCTAGACGACCAAGCCAAGAAATAACTCCTGATCTGGCCGTGATCAACCGCTCGGCGACGGATCAATTGCGAGTCAAATTTGATCCGAGTCAGACACGTTGATTCGTGTCAAGTGCGTGGAGAAACGTACAACGGGATCAAACTGAAGTTGATCCGTATCAACTGGGGATTAATTTGTTTGTTCTAAAATTACACAAATGTAATTCTTTTGAAAGATTTCTCATCCCTTTAATATGCACATTTCTAGCAATTTGTACATACTATTGCGTTTGTGACTGGAAGTGCTTGAAATGACGGCATATGAAGTTTTTCGAAAACTTAACAGTATTCTGTGAACTGTGGTTCAAATTTCGAATTTACAGTAGCGCTAAAATGCCATTATCTTAATAACTGCTCCAAATGTTTCAATGAAAACAGCCATTTAGGATGAGATTTTACTGTTATTTAATGTTTTTAAAGTACTAAATTGATTCTACATTTAAGATGTCGAAAAATTAAGAATTTTTTAATGTACTTTTCGAGGCTATACATGACAGCAGGCAAGAGTATGTGGCAAGTCTGAATAGATAACCGAGACTAATGGAAATAGAAAACTAATACGGGAAAGTCAGTTCCATTCTGTAACACCACAAGTTCTTTTTTTCAAAGTGTTTAATAGTAAATTAAGAACATTAATTTTGTCATAATTTCATTGTCAAGAAAGAAGACCAAAAGATAGTCTAATCATTGTTCACAAAGAAATTTATTGGACAAACATTTTTAAAGAAACAGGCTTTTAATACTTATTCAAATTCAAAATTCATATTCAATTTATTGTATTCCGATAATATTTTTAAAATAAAATGTAATTATAATTATGGAATTGTAACAATAAACAAAGCAATTGCATTATTGAACAATTAAGGCTTATCTTCATTAATAGATAGACTCTGTAGACCAAACATCTTGTGTTTTCTTAACAGAATAAAGTTTCAGCAATTACCTAGTCTGTACCACGTAAGTAATAGTTAATTTTAAAAGAACGTGAAAGTTGGGCATTGATAAATACTTGAAGATCGATAGTGTCAAGTGCATAGTGTACCGATGCCCTTACTCTCTTTCAACTTATTTTTATTCCTAATTTAATAATATATTTTATTTTATTGAGATGATTAGGCATCACTATACTTACACTCTCAGGACATCTACTTTGTTCTTGTGGGCTGAAAATTGACCGCTCATACGAGACTACCACTGCTGAAGACCTTATTTATGATAGGAATTAACTGATCTAGTTAGTATACTATGAATGATAACTTTATTAATGAATCGGTATTACAGCGACAAGAAGTGTCAGCTGCCAATCATTCTTTAATTTCTGAATTTCCTTTCATTTCTAATTCAACATTGACAAATTTAGTCTTATTTTACTATTTTTCCCTACCTAAGATGGCCATCGTAATTTTATTGGAATTAATTTTCAAAACTTGTTTCATTTAACTTAATTTCTATTGATATTCTTGTCCTTGAGCATTGAGTAGTTTTTCAAAGTCTCTTTGAAAATTCTTAACTGCTACACATTATTTTACGTAGCCGAACTGCACTCTTAGCGGTGAGACGGGGAGAATTCCATTCCCGATCATCCGATTATTTTAAAATATCCGACTCGACTTTAATTTCTCGACATAAGTCCAAACATCCCGTGACCTAGTTTTGGCGTCTACTTCAATCTCCCCTCTCTCTCTCTCTCCCCCTCTCTCTATCTCTATCTATCTATCTAATCTCCCTTTAGGTTGCAACTAGTAAAAGCGGTTCTTTCAAGTCATGCAGAGCATGCAAAAGATCAATTTTTTGCACTACAGCTATAAGTGGGACAATGCTCAAATGTTCTGATAAAACTTTGAAAGCAACCAAGAAAACAAAACACGTTCATGTGACCTAATCAGATACTACTGATCTTAATATAACAGTACATAATTAAGTAATTCGTATTCTTGGATTAAAATAAAATGAAAGGCAGTAATACCAATTAAAAAAGAATGGTGAAAGTGATTTTATTTTGCTTATAGAAATAACGCACTTGACTGATT